TGGGTTGCTTATTTGATGAGGGGGGGATGTTGCTGAGAAAAGGCATTTTCATGAAGTTGTTAGTGGAGTTTTTTCTGACTGAAGGGAGGAGGAAGCTAAAATGTAGCCAATAGTTATGGAGATGGTAGCATTATTGTTGCCAGCTCCTTGACTGTCTCTGTTTATAATTCTTTGCTTTGTCATTGAGCCTTAACATGTGTAGCTGCAGAATAATGAAGAGGAGATTTATAATTTTGGGTTCAGAATCTTGGTTATGAAATTCTATAGTACACATACATGTAATTGTGGTATTTGATTGATCACTTCTTGTTACTGCTTGAGAGCTGACAGCTTTCAGATTTAACTTGTTATTAGGAATGAAGCACTTCGAGTCGCTTTCATTCATGTGGAAGAGAGTGGTGCAGCAGATGGGAAGGTTGCCAAGCAATTTTATTCAAAGCTTGTTAAAGCTGATGTCCATGGGAAGGATCAGGTTCACCAAAATTCTTTTATCACTCTTGATCTTTGTTTTTCATTTCTTGTCTCTGTCTCAGAACGTCTTCTTTATCTTTTTTCCCAGAGCAACTTTGCGATCCCTTAAAACAAAAAGCAAACTTAAATGTGTAGGTTGCTATTCGTCCATTGCTTTTTTTGATATAATCTCATTCAAATTCTGCCACCTGCGCATTCCTTCAAAATCTCAAAAGACCGTCTTAGTTTGTCTTTTTTGTAACGGATATACGTCAGAATGTATAGTGCATAGGAAATTAAACTTGACATAAGGAGGTGATTTTGGAATTTTTAAAAAAAAAAAAATTCCTTCAAGTTGTAAATGCATTCATTGAGTTTTCTCAAAGAAGAGGTGTTCCAAGGGAGAGACTGTTTGGGGCAGCATTTTTAGTTCAGGCACTGGGTCAGAATGACTCTCTCCTGTTTTTATATATTTGCTAGATATATCATTAGGGTTTATCATTCTGAATATTTTGCATCCAATCAGGCATAAACATCTGTGTTGTAGAAATCATCTTCTTCCAGTATTTTCTTTTCTTTGTAGTTACTAACTTCAGCCTATTTGATTATGCTAGTTTATTGTTGGCAACCTGTAATGAATGTTTTTGTTTTATTGCTATAAATTTTATCTATTTTTTCCCCTAAGGAGGTTATTAGAATATCTAATTTTGTCCTGAACCATTTGGAGTGTTGTTTCTTTGATTGTTTTTCTGGTATTAGTAAGTCTTCATTGTTAATGGAAATCATACAGCGTTACAAATTAGGTGGTACTACGTCTGTTTGCTTTGTATTTTAACCCTTTTCCTGTTATGGTCTGGTAAGTGTGTCATTTAACCCATTTATGGGTGTCTTTTAAGAATGTTATACTGTGCAAAACCAATATTATTTAAGGCAATTCAGTTTTGTTCATTGTTTATAAGAATTCATAGGCTTGTAATGCTTGAATTCTATTATCGATTGGAGTTTCTATACATAATACAAATTTATTCTTCATTGGTGTGTTCTGTTCAAGCAAAGTTTTGATCTTTTATCCCTCCATTTTCCTGTTACTATTTTCTTGTGGCATAAGCTTTTGTGGGAGGCGGATTTGGCATGAGTTACCCCTTGTAATTGAGCTTCTCTTTTGCTGATGCGTTTTATGGTTTTAGAAATGGTAAAAAAGCTTCAACTTAAAGGAAATGTGGGAATTTGGATGGAGAGGAACCATAGAATATTTGAAAGAAAGGAGGAGGAAAAGGATTGTTATGGGATAGAGTTAAGTTATTGGCATTTCTTTGGGACGTGGTTACTAATGAGTTTTGTGACCCTTCTTTGTTGGTTCTTCAACTAAACTGAAAAGACATTGGTAATCAATAGTTGTGAACAATTTTTGCTCTTTTCGGTGGATAAGAAAAAAAAATTGTACTATGCGTAGATTTGTTGTTGGACTTCATTTCAGAACATGTTAGAATGAATCTTCTGATTGTTTCCAGCACGCGTTGAATACCCATTATGGGTTTCATTGTTGCTTCTGGTCTCTCTCTCTCTCTCCCCATCAAAATTATTAGTATTCTATTGCTTTTAACATGATTTTGGAATTAGGCTTTCCTTGAGTTTGTAAATATTTTTCTTTTCAGCTTTTATCTGATTTTCATCTAATGTAGGAAATATATTCCATTAAACTTCCTGGAGATCCAAAACTGGGAGAAGGGAAGCCTGAAAACCAGAACCATGCTATAGTCTTCACTCGAGGGGAAGCTGTTCAAACCATCGACATGAATCAGGTGAGTCATTTATCATTTTTATTTGTGGCACAGTGGTTTAAATATATCCATCATGTTTTAAATTGATTATTGCAGACTTATATTTGATCTGGCGTTTTTTGCCGGAGTGTATGAAGTGACTATTTGATTTGCCTTAAATTATTATATAGAGGTTGTATATCTTGATATGGTGTTTGATCATTTTGCGAAGGCGCTAATCTTGCTGAATAAGCTCGTTGTGTAACTTCGCCTTGTTTAGTGTTGTGGGTTCTTTGTGCCAAAACATGTGGGAATAAGGGGGACACTGTTGTGTGCCTTCCTTAATCAGTTAATCTTGTTTGTGCTAGATTAGAGTAGAGAATGGTGGCAGTGCCCTTCATCTGAAAGAACTGGTTATTAGAAGTTTTGAACACCTACCTTCTATTTGAGATGGAGAGGAAGTTTCTCCCAATAGCCGAGGGTGAAAGGTATTTGTATTCAGGACTGATGATTATTGTTGCAAGTGTTAACGTAGAAAGGATAATTTGTCTTGTTTCACAAAGTCCATAGATCTTGGAATTAGTTGTTGCCATGGTTCAAGGTGACAGTATTGATCATCAATTCGGAAAATACTTTATGATATACATCGGTCGTGGTGTCACGACACGATATTGGGCGATGCACAAAAAATACAAGATAGAAGCCCCAAAAAAATTCTAAAGAATTATAGAAAATTTTAAAAAATGTAAACAAAAAAATCCATCTTGGCCAAATACATCATCTAGCACATTAAATATATTGAAAATGAAATGGAATAGTTCTCCCAAAAATATTTATTAGATGTTCAATGAAAGCATTTCATAACATATTTGAGCCATATTAGGTAAATTAATTAATATAAGAAATTAATTTAATGCAATAGATAAGTTACTTTGTTGATGCATTAAAATTAAACCATACAATCAGACCGAAATACCCTACGAAAAACAATATTACATTTTATTATTTGACAAAAACATAATAGCCCCCTTCACCAATAAAAGGACAATTGTCCAAAACAAAAGAAATAATGAACCATTATTTCCTAAAGAAGATCAATCGTCCCATTCCAAACTTTAGTTTAGAGAGAGAGATAGATAGAGAAATTGCGAAATAAAGAGAGGGAAATCATCAAGGAAGGAAAAGGCTTGCAAGTAGAACTTCAATCCAATGAACGAGGAGTCAAGGACCATATGACTTTCAAAACAATTGTTATGATGGTATGTAGGGGTGACAATCATGTCGTGTTGGATTTGTGTCATGTTATTTTGGGTTCGTATCGAGCACTAGTCAATCTTGATCCAACCTATTTAACTAATCGTGTCGATTGACTTATTTATTTTTATGTCAGGTTCGAGTTCGTGTTGACCTATATAAACCTTTAATAAAGAACTTAATGCTAAGATTTAAGTCTAAGATTTTATTATCAATTAATTGAATGCATGCTCATACTATTTCTATAAATTAAAAATTATCTTAATAAACAAAACAATAATAATGGGTAAAAATGTCTCTTTTATAAAATAATTATGTCAATACTTAATAAATAATAACAAATAATTAGTATTTTATTTCTTTAATATTAGTTAATCGTGTCAATTTTGTGTTATTCGCGTTTAACACTAATTTAACCCATTTATTATTTGTGTTAATGAGTTATGTCATTTACGAGTTTGTATTGAGAAATGATTAACCCTAACTTACTAATTTCATGGCGAGTTCAAGTTGTGTTTTTGTGTTATGTCAGAAATTGCCACCCTTAATCGTATGTTTAGGCAATGCGTGAAAAACTACTTGAGTTGTATCTTAGTTACGTTGTAACACAGGAATCATGCGATATGCACAAGATTTGTTTTTTTATCTAAAGCGTGAAATAACGTTTCGTAATCCCTTTTTTTTTTAATCCTAGAACTTATTTTGCCATATTTGTATCGATTGTAAACAGATGAAGCCGTAATTGTAAGCATACAAAATGTTCATGCGGATGGAGGAAGTGAAGACTTGTTGGCATCCAATCACAATGATAAACTTGCCCTTTAATTTAAATTGGCGTTTGAGATGTAAATGGAGTTCATTGGATTATAAGAATAAATTGTTTTAGAATTTACAAGCCTATAAATTTTGGAATAGATTCTCATCCAAAAAAAAAATTTATGATGTTATTGAATTTGGTTGTAAACTTGAATAGTTGGATTGTTACAATTAGTCTTAGATCTTGAAGTCTATTTAAATTAGGTTGTAATTTGAGTTGAGATGTTATTATGATATTTTTTTATTTTGGATAAGTGAGTTGAAATTAGATTTATATTGTTTTAGGCACTATATAATATCTATGGGTATAAATGCACAAACTAATTGATATACTTTTAAAATTGAAAGTATCTTACAATACACGGTTCATGATAAAAAGTGGAGCAAAATTAGTGGATTTTTTTAGTTAAAAGTGGATATTTGTTTAACTAGCTATCGAAAAAAATTGTGATCGGCAAACGTTATACAACATTTTCATTATTGTCTTTTGAATCATAGAGATTTAGCCGGGTGAATTTTTATGTGGTTTGTTGGGATTTTACTTTAAATTATATTGCTGATCTAGGGGTGGACATGACACTGTGGCTAGAAAGATCTAAACTAGTCTTGTATAATGGTTCCCTGAGTTTTCTTATAAGGTGATATAAATTAGGGGAGCGGTAGAGAGGCTAAAACCTAGGTCTTTTTTCCACTTGGTGTGTCCCTTGTAATTTTGGGGTGGACCCTAGGTCTCTGGAAATGTTTACACAATGTATCCTATGTTCTAATGCTTAAATATTGATCTTGTGGACTACATGTTGGCAAGGATCAAAATTTCATTTCGATGCATTGTATTTCAACCAAGAAACAAAAATATTTCGGAAACATTTTTAAATCACAATAGAATGGATACAAAATTTGGGAATTTATTCCAACACATTCTGAAATATTGGCCAAAATATTTATTAACACCTCGAAACACCTCGAAACATTCTGAAATATTGATAGAAACATGCCGAAATATCTCGAAACATCCTGAAACACCTTAAAATATTGGAATTTCTATTCAATTACTAATTTGTTTCGGTCTCCTTAGAAACAAAAATGTTTTGGCCGATTCGACCATTTTGAAAACAAAAATTTGATCCTGTGTTAGACTTTTTTTGGGATTGCATGTTCTGCCTGCATTCAATAGGTAACACCAATAATTTGCTTGATTTAAATTTTCTGGTTACTTTATACTTCAATTCTTTGTAGTGTGTGTTTTGCCACATTTTGGATCATATGTATGATATTTTTTTTGGGCCTTTGATCTGTTGGCCGTTTTCATCTTTTGCAAGAAGTCAAGAATGTAGTAATATGCTCTTAATCTGTCACTAACTCACTGGTATGGTAATGCATAAACCTCGATTGTTTTAGACTATGCATTTGTATTTTTTGGCATATTACTGCTCTTATCTGGTTCTTTTTATATGAATTGATATGACATTATGGATTCTATTTTTATCCTCTATAAAAACTTGAATTGAAAAATATTAGAGTTACTTATGTCGTAGTAATATTTTCATTAGAAACTAGTAACATGGTTCCAACTGCAAATTAATGTTTGGTTTTTTTGAGGCTTTGTTAAAATTTGTTTGTATAATGATATCCCTTGCTTAGATTGAATGTCCTTGGCGTGTGATGCAGGATAACTACCTAGAGGAGGCAATGAAAATGAGAAATCTTCTTGATGAATTTCGAGGAAATCATGGCCTTCGATCTCCGACTATTCTTGGTGTAAGAGAACACGTGTTTACGGGAAGGTCTGGTGTATGGTTTTTGTCTCTCCAAATGCTATCTCGATTTTTTGCCATGTTGTTCTCTTACACATTTCTTTGATGGATGTTTTATGCAGTGTTTCTTCCTTAGCGTGGTTTATGTCCAATCAAGAGACTAGTTTTGTGACATTGGGCCAACGTGTTTTGGCAAAACCTCTCAAGTGAGTTATGTTCAATGTAGTCAAATTATCTCGAAGAAGTTGAGTCGTATGATCACTGTGATTAGGTTCACAAATATTCTGTTAACTTACTGTTTTTTGTTGGCTAGTTGTAAAATTTTTCTAGATCAGTGGCTTGTCATGTATTATCTTTTGGTAAATGGCTTGTCATGTATTAAATTCCCTGATTGACTGATTTTGGAGGAACTGCGTTGGCCAAGAAGGGTGGGCCAAATCTAGGAGCGTTTCATGGATCTTGTGGTGGTTATTGCATAGAGCTTCTTTCCCTTTTGGTTGGAAGGAAATATCTTCCTTGTTTACATTTGGTTTTCTTTTGGTTCATGGAGACCAGGCAAATATGTGAAGATCCTGAGTGTGCTATATAAATTGCTGACCCTGATTCTATGTTTTTTTGCTGTAGCCAATGTGTTTCTGCATAGGACGGTCTTAAATGGGTGGCCAATTTATCTCTATGCAAATCTCTAAGGAGCAAATGATGTGATGAGAAAATGAGATTTCTATAGGTCTTTATTTTATGGGCCTATTCCATCATGCCTCTTTTAAGTGCCTTCAAACAAAATTCTTTTCTAAAATGTTTTGCTGTAATAATACTTGCTTTTCTTCTCTGATGCTTTCCAAGCAAGAAGCGAAGTTATATAGATGCTTTCTAATTTTATTTGGATAATTTTAGTTTCCTGATGCTTGCGACATCCAGATCATGATACAAAGTTCATTGGGTGATCAGCTGCCTTGATTATACTTCTGGAAAGTACAACAAAGTTGTATAAGAGCTCTGTATGCATATGCACCTGTCCAATTAACACATTTAATACCCTTCTTCCCTTTTCGTCCAATTCATTCCATTTCATTAGTTCACCCAAGTCTGCTGATTTTGTGACTTTGTATGATTTTATTCATTGCATGATTTTGCATAGTTTTCCCTATTTGTCTCTGCTTCCGAAAATCAAACAGAATAACAATTACATTTATGGTAATGGTAGTAATAGTGGTGGTGGTAGTAGTAATAACTACTAAGATAACTTAGTAAATAATCAAGTGGAGAAAAGTTTTTTGAATAAAGTATCTGATTTCATTAAATAAAACCTTGCAGAATCCGTATGCACTACGGACATCCAGATGTCTTCGACCGAGTATTTCACATTTCTCGAGGTGGCATTAGCAAGTCATCTCGTGTTATCAATATTAGTGAAGATATATATGCAGGTAAGCCTGCAGGAACTTTTTATTTATATTTCTTTATTGTTGTTATTGCTTATTCCATTTGGATAACATTGTTTTTTTTTTTTTTTTT